CAATCGCTAAATAATGGGCCACAGGAACGAATATCCCCAGGTAAGCGAGCGCCAACGGAACCAATACCGGAAAGGACCTGGAAATTCTACCTAGATGCCTCTTTGGCACCGTATTCGTACGAGAACGTTCTTAGTTAACAAAACCAGTGCATCCGATCACAACAAGGACACTCAAAAACTCACCTTGACGGACGCGATGGACCTTCTCCTTCTTGCGGGATCACACGCGAAGGCAGATTTCCGTATCCAGCCGAATTTCGACGATTGGCAAAGTTGGATGGAGGTCATGATGTCGAGACAGGGGGTGCTGATCCATCAGCCGAACGCCTGCCTGAAGGAACTGCGGACTTGAGAACAAAAGGAATGATATTCAATACTCGTATGTTTGGTATATCTCGGACGTCTTTCACAGCTTCGATAGCCCGAGGCTTGCCGGTCTATGTGGTTTTGGGCATCTTTCGCCGCGGCCAACCCAACCCAGTCGAAAGGGTCATGTTCTGCCATCAACCGAAAAGATTGTTCAGAGATCTCGGTCGAGAGATATTCCGCTTACGTGGTTTCTGGAAGACGTTCTTTTCTCTCAGACACGTGAAAGGATTTCGGCTTTATAAGGTAAGTCACTGAGAGCCTGAAGCCCTTTCTTAGTTCCTAATGGACGACATCTACGCAGTAATGAACATTTCGCTAATCTTGTCTGTAGTGCAATGCGGAAGAAGGGACTCATGATCGTGTCGATCTTGACAACAACGGTGCTGCAGATCTGCAATTGCTCCTGCATACGTACAAACAATGGCGAGTCCCTGGATACATCGCACTTGCCTGGGGAGACTGGATGCACCAGGAACTCAACAACGACTCGCATGATGTACTCAAAGAGAAGTACTCACTTGAAATCGTGTTGGGCTGGTCCGTCGCTAGGATTGCCGTCGTGATTCTCATACCAGTGGTGCTAAGCCTCGTCATCGGACTTTGGTTTAACTCAAAGGACTGGACGGACTTGACCACCATTCAGACCGCGTGGTCTATCGCATCCTACATTGTGACAGCAGGAGGTTGTAAGTATCCCATGTTCCGTGTTGAAGGAGGTTCAAGCAGAGCGCGCTGACTGACCGCTTCTAGTCGTTGCTGCCTTACTTGGTATTATGAGCAGTCTTGCCGATAAATAGGCTTCAATTGCACACCACGTCATGTCCGATAAATTGCGAAAGACATTATCCCAGCTTACGTGATGTATATTAATAGTGCACTTGTATGGCTTTGATCATGCCAAGGCACTGAAACTCGATACTATTGCTTCCCTTGCTAGTGGAATGGGATCAAATGCCTTTATCTATCCGAGATATCGAATCTCAAACATCGACAGAGGGCCCGGAATCAATCCCATTAGTCTCGTATTCTCAATCTCATCAAGTACTCTAGGTTGAGGCATGTCTTGACCGTTTAGTGCTCTAGGCGGTGAACATGTTGATATGTTGTGGGGCGCAGGGCTAGACTAAACGAGACTGTGGCGTCGAACTTGAAAGCTGAAGCTTATCATCGTAGGATACTCGTTATCTGAGGAGAGGCCACGGACTTTTCAGCTCTCCACAATTTAGGTTAGGAAGGTGTTCGAAATATGTAACACGGCCCAATTCGACTTAAGAGGGAAATACTGCGGCGGTGCGGCCAGCCCGAGACAAGCTGCGTTTGCTAGTTCGACCCTCAGGCTTAGCTACGAGGCAGCTAGAGTTCAGCTTCCCGAGATCTTATACCGGGATTAGACTTAGTTAAAAGAGTTATCCTGAGCAAATGTCACCGACTGGACTCTCCTTTGGGAATTCGTCCCGCAGCTTCGGGTAACCCGGCCTGCTTCACGGAAACCCTCCAATCGTCTCTTGCCAGGATACAGTTCCCAATGTTGCGAGGCGCGCAGACATCGCAACATCAGACGATGTCGTCACATCCACAATTTTTGGACTTTCCGGCCAAGCAAACTGCCATCTTCGGCGCGGACTTCCCCACGCCCTAGGCAGTCAGGCGACTGATTGAAATAGCAGGTTGATTTCCACCTTCCAGCCAGCATCATGAGCATTAGCAGTCCAGATCCTCAGCGACATTTTGGTTTGGTAGGAAAGTGCTGTCATACGACCGACATCATGACAGTTATTGAGAACAACATCTTGGCTGAGAAGCCTTCGGGCGCTCCCGCACCGGAACTGTACAGATCTGTGCCTAAGCGCAGGACTTTGGTAAGAAAACATCTCCGCTTGGACGTTGCGCAAAGCTCCCGTAAGCATTGTATTGATCCTTCTCAGGCACAAACCGCATCCTTTCATCTCAAGACTCTCTATTTGTTCACTAGAAGCGACATCAAGACCGTACTAGTGCCTCAAATCATCTTCATCACGGCAGCTGTATTCAGTCGAGAATCACTCACGACAACATTCGATCAAACCAAATACTCAAATCTTCAGAAACTGCCCCTGGCAATTCTGTGGATATGGCTCAACTTGGTCGTTTGCGGTATCTCAAACCAGCGACTCCCGGACTCCATCGTCGAAGACGAGCATAACAAACCCTGGCGGCCACTGGCTGCGAAGCGGTTGACGTCCGCACAAGCTCAACGACTTCTTCTCGGCATGATACCTCTCGTGGTTACAGTAAGCGCGTTTATGGGTGGATTCAAACCGACGATATCGATGATGACGCTTCTATGGATGTACAACGATCTCGACGGGAGCAGTATCAACATCTGGGCGCGCAACGCGATCAACACAGGCGGCATCATGTGTTTCAGTGCTGGGGCTTTGGAGGTCATCTCTGGCGGCGAGCTCCTTCCGAAGGCGTGGGCTTGGATCGGGGTGACCGGAGCCGTTATCGCTACTACAGTCCAAGCGCTGGACTTCCCAGATATGGAGGGAGATCAAGCTAGGGGTCGCAAGACCATCCCGCTGCTCTATGGCGAAGGAATTGCTCGCGGCGGACTGGCCGTGATGGTCTTGCTGTGGTCCACTGCGTGTCCGCTGTTCTGGAACCTTCAACCGGCGGCCTGGGCGGCTCCTATGGGTGTGGGAGCCTTGATGGCTGCATTGACTATGATGAGGCGGAATGAGAAGTCTGACGATATTGTAGCGAAGCTGTGGTGTCTGTGGCTGGCTGTCTTATATGTCTTACCTCTTTTCGCGGCGTAGATACAGGTGCTCAACAGAAGAGCACGTGTGTGCAGGTCCTGGAGAAGATATCATAACCTCGACTTCCAAAAACAGAGAATTATAACCACCAGGAAGGATCGGCTGAATAAAGGATGAGAGAGAAATGGCAATATTCTAAGCCAAGGCCAGCAATACAAAGACCTTCACCTAATCATTTGGGAAGCATATGTCGCTGAGTACGTGGGAATGGACTGTCCTCATTCACCATCAACGAAGCACTTTGCGTGTTCAGGCTATATCAAAGCCTATAGGGCAAAAATTGATTCCCTTGTCTTGGTAATCTTTTTCGGTACTCATGGCATAGAGTGAAAGTTGTCAATTCGAGACTTGACCTTTCCTTGTGAATCTTGACTGGTCCTGGTGATGCACACCCCATATACCGCATCTGTCATGTTTCCCAATTATCAATCATCTCTGTGGCTTCCATGCTCGGCAATCCTAAGCCTTCTCAATCTCCTCCACAGACTCGATACCAGGAACGCGCCAGTCGCAGCCGCAGGTGCAGCCCCAGGAGGCATTCTCACAGTCGGTGTGGCGCTGATCGTAACGTAGCTTGCCGGAGCTGTCGCAGCGGTAGTTGTAAGGGCGATACTCGCACCAGAGCTTGCTGATAGGGCAGACGATGTCGCATTCACGAGTATGGAGGACAGATTCCTGGGCCTCGGTGTTGATGTTGTTGACCCCGTCTCTGTCGTTGAGGTCCTGACGGATCTTGTGGGGGTTCATGCTGGGGCCGGCAGCGACGCCAATGGCAAGGGCGGCAGTACCAGTGAGCAGAACTGTGGATTTACTATCAGCTTTTTTTCGCGATGAATTTTTCAGTGAATTCCAGCAATCTTACCTTGAAATCTCATTTTGAGGCTGTGATGTTTGTCTCTTGGTTGTGGTTGATGATGTGAAAAGTGGAAGGTGATTTTGTCAACGGGCAATGGCGGTGGGAGGTGAGATATCGAAGAAAGATAGAGAGTTCTGAAAGCTACTGGTTCAATGTATAAATACTCAAAGAGTATTCTGTGAAGGCGCTCGAATAAAAAAAGCTGTCTTGTATCCCCGACTGACCGCCTTCGCTGCCTGGAAAGTTGTGTTGACTGAGTGACGACATAGATGGAAGGAGCAAACGATGGCCATTAAGTCCATATGCCTTTGTTCTTTCCTTGGAGAAACCCACTATGAGAACTTTGATCAATAAAATCTCATTAAGGCCCATATGCGATGATGATCATATATGCCCATCTACGGCACTTTGTCCACATCTAGATCACTTGTGTGACATCAAGAGCCCCTTACAATCAATCAGCAGCACAGACTGGAAGCTAAGGCTAAGCGAATGCAGTAACATAGTGCCGAGTTGGAAGACGTAGAGAGATAGCATTTGATATTGTTTCAGTCGGTGACAGTTCATTCAACCAAATAAGGGTAGTTACCACTGTAAGTTTGTCACCTGAGCGTGTCGAGACACCTATCAATCTTGAACGGTGGCTGATATGGTGGTATCTGAATTTGTCCCATCAGAAAGACATCCTAGCATATCCTCTTTGTCTATGTCAGTAATAGATGGACGCTAGGGATTGCTTGCCAGGCACATGCCAAGCCACATTGAACAAACACTACCCATGGTGTATCACAAACAGTGACGCAGCCAAGGTATACAACACCTCAACATTATCACCCTCGGCACTTTTCTTCCTCCCAGTCTCAGTACTAGTAGTTCAGTTCGAAACTTCAACAACCAAACATACTTGAGTTGCCAATTATCTCATACATATGAATAAGTAGACAGCACCTTCAATAAACTCAACAGACGATCGTCGTCTTTTAATTGTTCAAGTTATGTTATGTCCAGTTCAATGCTAGATACATTTTGCGCCTCGAATAATGTTACAGGTGCCAGAAACAAATACACGCTATGTCCACTCAAATGCTCCGATAGACCTATGTTCCACAAAACAAACCATCAACGCCTTTCACCTCCAGACTTTTGTCTCTCAGCCTGGCCAAGCCATGCAGTTTGCTCGTCCAACCGGCTGTAATGCGCATCAATCACCTCCTGGTTCAAGTAATTCAACCTGTGACCACACCTCGTCCACTTGACGTCATGGGCTGTCGCCGAATCATCGCAGCATCCTCCCCAGCAGTCTCCGATCCGGTCAATGACCGACTGAAACTTGGCCTTCTCACTCCTCCGGCTCCGGTCAATAATGTTGAGCATCGTCGGAATCGCAACCTCGTGGAACAGGTCCGCGCAACCGTACACGGATGACAGGAAAATGAAGTCGGCAAAGAAGCGTCGAGGAATGTAGAAAATGTCTGACCAGCCTACGCAAAACTCCTTTTCCTCGATCGTGTAGCCGCGGTTCATCCGGATAATCTCGCCGTTGACGGTGACGGCCTTCTCGTTCCATTTGTGGTACCAACCCCACCATTGCGGAAACTTCTGCCAGTCCGTCATACACATGTACCGCGGGCCGTCGCCCTCGAACTGTCGCGTGTTGTGGGATGTCGGGAACCAGATGGACTCGCGATTCTCATCTACCCAAGCCATCGGGTCGATCCAGGAATCGAAGTGGAAGTACATCAATCCTTCAATATCGGGTTGCTCGTCGAGGATGAGCTTCATCGTCCTAGCAACTTGCATATAAATCGTTTCGTGGTGTGGGTACTGCGAGTGCGTAAGATTGTGCCAGTCTTCGGGCTTATCCTCGACCATCTCCGGCATGGAGATGTGGACGGTGTGGTAAAAGGGCTTGTATTTCATGAGGAGGGGCACGCGCTCCATGCGCTTCGCATTCCAGCGAATCATGGCGAGCGTATTGCTAAAAGGTGAGGCAGTGAGGTTACCAGGACCTGTCGAGATCTTGTACGGCTCCTGCTTATCCGTGAAGGGCGTGATGATTTCGGCCGGGGGTGTTGAGCAGTGTCCGTCGGTGTCATCTCTCATCACGAGTCGGTACTCGGGGGTGTGCGGGAGTTCAGAAAGTGTCGCGTAGGGAATGATGCCTGCACCGAGGAAGCTGGCAAGGGTGAGAAGGCCGAACTTTGCTTTCTGCAATTATGTTAGCATGCCTTGATCGCAGGACCCTGTTAAGATGACGGACCTTGTAGGATGGAGGCGGCGCGAAAGAGTTCGGCACGTCATCCACAGGAGACGAACTAATGTACTCTTTCAAGGGAGCATACTTCATGTATGCCAGCGAAGCGATGAATATGAGCACTGTGCCGGGTATGAGGAACATGCTGTATCGGGACAAGAAGAAGTGCGCGGACACAAGCATCAACACGATACTAGTGGTGTCGTTGATGAACCATCTCACCCATGAGTCGACCCCTGTGTAACGTCAGTAATTTTCTTCGAGAATCCCCAAGTGGGACGGTGTCTAAAACATACTCTTCTGTGAAACCGTAGTAATCAGAGCTACAAGTGTGGTCATGAATACTACCGACAAGCCCTTACTGTCGTAGCCCCCGAAGAAAGTGGGTTCGAAGGAGCTGTATAGTCGCACAAGCGCATGCACGAGCAGGTTGAGGATCGCACCGAAAGCTCCCAAGACAATGTTTGCGCCGTTCGAGCTCAAGTCGGTAGCCTTCAAAAGCTTCTCGCTGTGGATGTCGGATAAGGCACTGAAGCTGGCCTGGCCGACAATGCTGACGTAGAGGGGAAGCTGGTATGTCGAAGCCCTCGTGCGATGTTGTGGGTAGAACTGGGACAGTACCAGACCCGACGTCTACTCCTGTTTAGCAGCTGAAGTGGAAAACCAAAAGCTATGCGAGTGACCTACCTGGATCAAGAAAGCCATCCATCTAGTCTTGGGGCCCTTCAATCCAAGAGCGGGCGTTGTGACCAGAGCTGCTGCGACCATGATGCCGCTCTTCGTGATGGAGACAGTGCCTGGATCGCTGACCAAATAGTTGAGAAACAACTTGAGAAAAAATTGTTAGCTTTTGCCTCATCCAATGTTGCGCCAGCGCCAAGTGCCAAGCGCTTTGACGTCGCATACCAAGTTGTTGCTGAGCATTTGCAGTAAAGCAATCCTCATCAGTCCGAATCTCAAGTCCGCGTCTCCCCAGACATAACGCCAGAGTGCCCTCGCGCCTCCAATGCGAGGAGCTTGTCGCGATAGCTTCTCCGCAGCGTACTCGCCAGACGACCGTCCGTCCTCATCAGCGCCAAGATCCAAGTCCTCCGACCCGTTCCCTAGCGAAGAGTACTCGGTGCTAGTATTTCGTCTGCGAACCTCGCGTTTCAGCAACAAAGTCGCAATCAAGAACCTCAAAAGTTCGGATATCGTTAAACTCGAAGATGGCGAAAAGTTGAATTGCCCTCGCTCGCGGGAGTTCCAGAGATTGACCGCCGCGCCGACCTGTAGGAACACCAGCCCGAGCGCGGCGAGACACGGGACCAGCCCGGCGCCACCGGATCCGGCTACCGCCAGCATTCGGCGGAAAATGGACCGGTTCACGGCCATGGCGAGAGAAGAAAGGAAAAAAGGAGTGTAAGGCGGCGGCGCGAGTTCGTCTCGAACGCTTTCCGTTGTGTTTTCTACCAGTTTTGACGAGAAATCATGATTTCGCAACCACCGCGAGTCGAAAAGAAGAGGACAGAACGCTTGGCCCTTTTTTCCTCGCTGCGAAAATACGAGTCGTGGCGGGGGCGATCAGCGTCGCAAAAAAGGTCCCCTCGGCCCCCAGACAATAGCAGGGCTGTTCGCACGGAATCTGCTGGGGGCCAGGTTAAAACCGGGGACTGGACAGGGGACGAGAATCGAAATCGAGCTTGAATTCCCCAATCTGACCACGCTGCGGACGCCCCGGTACGAGATCGTCAGCGCTCAGCTTCGGTTGCGTGGAGCGAGTACAGATGTGGACGGCTCTCGAAAAAGGGGGGTGGTGTTCGTCAGTCAGCGCGGGTGACTTCGATGTCATGAATAGTATCATTGAAGAACACAAAGCTGCTGAGATGGGAGGCACAATGGTTTTGTCTGGCCTTGAGCTCGATACTCGAAGCTTAATTTGGTGCTGATAAAAAGTATTTTAAGGATCTGAGGCAAAGCAGGCCCATGCAAAGGCATCCCCCTACTTGTAACATTGCAGTTACAATTCTGGCAGCGAATTAATTAGCACGGCTGTCGCCTGTTTGCATGATCCCCGTCATTCCGGGTGTTGGACTGAACGCCAAGTGGACCGATGAGCTTTGGGAACATTTGGAAGTATCCGTTTGTTAAACCTTCCGGTGTGGGCGCCCGGCAGTGCTTGATTGCAGCTTTGCCCGATCAGTTAGGTGATCACGAAAGAGGAGATTCGACCGCAGTACATAAGGTACGGCGCAGCGCCAGACTTGCGAAGTTGCGGCAGCGTGAAGGTCGATTCGGCGGTTAAAGAGCAAAGAATCTCTGCGCAAGACACAGAGTCTCCTAAGGCCAGAGTTGGCGCGCCGCGCGTCCTGTAACATCTTCTCCTCAACAAAGGCCAGTCATGCGGAGTAGACTTCAAGTTGACAACCACACACACTAGAAAACCATCCGAGGCTCCAGATACTTGTCTCCTAACAGCTGTCTGGCTTTATGAGTGTGTGAAAGAGATGGGGCACGTGTTCGGCCCAAAGAACTAGCTTTTAACATGAGTCGCAACGGCTGTCACGGAACTGCGCATCTTCAAGGACACAGCCTGCGCTAGAAGAAGTGAGACCGGCTATCGAAATGTGGCCTGGCCGTGAGGAGCCACTCTCTTATTGGACCGTCTTATCACTCGGCGCCAGGATTGAGTTCCCAATTTAGGTCGTTTGGAGGGGCCTCCCGGTTCCCCTTGTTGAGCACGGTTCAGCAATGTCGTAGCCGTGACGGCACGCAACGCTGAGAGGGAATTACACTGCTAACAGAAACTGGCACACTGGTTAGGGGCCGATGGATAGACTGGAAAACAAGGCGGTGGGCGTTGGTCCGTCCACCCATCTTCAGTCGTTCGGCTGAACTGTATGGTGCTGACAGCGACGGAATCAAGTGAGATGCTCAACTGGGTTGATACGGGGGAACTCCGCCCGCTTGGCTTGAGATCACGACACATTTGTCCTGCCTTCCACCATGTCGGTAGGCGGTGATCAGGCAGGTTCTAGACCAAGAGAAGGGGAGGGGGGGTTGGAAGGAAACAAGAGTTTACATGTGGCAAGCCGAACATTCCAATCAGGGTCCGACTTGAAACACATGTGCATGTTGACCCCTACTGCGCCGTGTGCGCCCAAGTTTGCTACGAATCGGAGGTCGCTTCACTGGTAGGGCGTATGGCTAGTGTGAAATCCTTCAAGCACTTCCAGGGGCGGCTATCCGAGATCTACCACATTCGACAGCGCCAATTGGGGAAGCTGAGAGGCCTGCAGGATCTCTTGTCTTCACTGCGTGACACTGCGTAGGGGAACCAGATGGAGAAGGACTTTCCGATGGTCTGGACACGATGCTATGAGCTTGACTTGACATACAATCGGTTGAGGTCCCTTTCCTGCCTCACTGCGCAACATGCGACATCATGCTCAAGGCCCGCTAACCTCGCATGCTTATGGGAGGCGAATGCTGGGAGCACCTGAATGCTCGGCCACGGCTGTAGTTGTGACTTACGCAAGCCGGTCTACTATGCCATCACCAGATTCGCGAGGCATATGCAGGCCTCCGGGATCCAGCTGAACTATTGATGAAATGCTAAAGACAGCGGCTCTGCAGTTAGGCTTTCCATCTGTCATCCTATGTCAAGACCGTTGGACTGTTACCGGTAGGCTCAACTGGCGCAAAGTTTTCCACGCGTCCGACCACGTCACTGACAGCAGCTAGGAGGTGCCATCACCTGCGTTAGCTGCGACGGCAGCGCTAGAAGTTTTCCGTCCGTCTCACTAGTTCAACCGTCAAACACACTCAGCATAGCTCACAGATCCAGGCCAGAGCGACGGGTAGGCTACTCCGATTCGAGAAGACAGCAAACCTGCGGTCAAACCTTCGAGTCCGGTCGCGAACGCCAGCGTTAAGGGCTCGGAGCCATGCCCCGAAGCCCCCACTTGCCGCAGAGAGCTTCCGTTTCCCTTTAGTCATCGTCGACCTCAAGGTTTCAACGTAGATGGCGGTTGAGGTTGATATCGGAACAGCAAGATTTCAGATGATGAATTGTCAAACCTGGAAGTAGAATGAAGATGCTTCCATTTCAGATTCAAATACGTTTGACTTAGTAGGTTGCACGTGATCACAACTAATTTGCAGCTCCTGAGTCCACGTTCATGTTGCCCTGATGACGGGAACAGCCTGGGGAGCTTTGCGTCTTTCTGATCCACATCCAAAGAACCCCGGAAAAGTGGCTCAGCCCACGGGTCTTGGGTCCGTTCAACGGACCGTACCGTCTTCCGAAGCCCCGCTCAACTACTGACTTCGTCTCACTCTGGAAGATCATGAGCATGCGTACGATGCCTCAAAGCTGGGCTTTTCAAGGACTTACGGTGTCTGAAATGTAGGCACTTTCGTGACTTACACAACTCACCTATTCCTTCCCGACGCGAACACTACTAGAGTCTTGACAGAGCTCCTGATCGACCAGTGAGACGCGAGATACCCGAAACAACGTCGGAGGGTTGTGAACACCGTGAGAGATACATCCCGAGTACCATCTGCCATGACTAGGAAGTAGTTCGATTATTCCCTCCAAGTTTCGACGAGAGGATGCTGAAGATACTAGACGAACCTTGGTGAAACCTCGGTCTTCAGAAAAAGCATATGCCTTCATGCCAGACTTGCCAGTTCAATAGCCGCCGTCTCCACCACCCGATCAATGATCAGACTATCTGACTCTACTATGCTGATTCATCTACCTAATCATCAATAAGGTTGTGGCGGAAAATCCACAAGCAGATATTATGCCCGTCTTGGCCATCTTGTTTACTTCGAGGTCCAGATTCGACAGGATCTAGACAAGGTCCGACGCCTCAAGCTCATGCGGAGGCTAAACCCCCGCCTGATCGCGTAAGTCATCACATAAGAATGCCGTGCTGGAGGGAGCAAGTTTGGGTAAGGCTGCATCGTCTTTTTAAACTTCGACGTCAACGCCGAGCTTGAAGCGGTTTGAGATGTTGCCAAGAGAACACCTTTCCGTACCGAGGAGGTGGGTGCTCTCATTCGAGGCAGCATCTGATGCTCTGCACAGATGTCGCAGTAGCTGACGCAGATCTCTGTCCGAGCACTAATTAGATTTTCTCTTCACAGCAGAATAGTGTGCGTCTCGAATTCTCATGGAAGTAAATGAGTGGTCGGTGTATTCGGCCCAATCTCACCAGCGTTGGAGACGCAGTCCGCTAGAAAGTTTGATTTGTACCGAACTTCGTGTTGATGTTGCGATCAACTAGAACGGCGGTCAACGGTGACAATCGAGACCGATACAAATGCATTCCTGGCTCAGATGATCTTGGCAAGAGGGGTTCAAAGGGGGATTTGGGGATAGATCGATACAAGTAATGGCGAAATCAAGCCCGACGCCACATGCAACGCTTGGAGTACTTCTACGTTTCATGGACCAAGAGCTGTTGTGTGATTTGCTCTCGTAAAACTGACTCACTTCCCACTGGCTCATCCTGGATCATCACAAGCCCCTACCAAGCTGGAGCTTTGCCCGGTCTCGCTACCCAATGGCATAAGCCTCTCACATTCCAACTTTGATTTAAGCTCCTGGCAGAATTGATAGTGTTCCCGCCATCGGCTCATCCCCCGAGTCCTCCAACCTTGCCTTGTGGTCTGGAACAATGTTTGGATCGACCCATTTCAGCACTATCACCGAGGACCGCCCGAGGGTCGTCTGATATGTGCATCCCCAAGTTGACAACCCCGACAACGGTCTCCCCGTTCGCCACGATGAAGGTGTCCTCCAGAAAGCGGAAAAGCAGCGACCTGTGCCTCAGCTTGAGGAGGATACGTTGATAGCCCGCCACCGTTCGCCGCAAGAATAACTTTAAACAGAGAAGTTTACCCGTGATAGCTGAGGGCAAGGCGCGCCTCCGGCTTTTGCATTCCGCACTGGACGGGAGAGAGCCTCTGTCTGCCCAGTTTGTTTCGATACTTAGAACGAACGCACCCGCGAACGCTCACCAACCTCCCTCTCACCACGTCATGGCTTGAGTCATATACGCTGAAATATTCCAAAGAGTCTGCATCGGAGTGAACGGCCTAGGTATGTGTACGTTACATCGCATTCACGCTAGCATTACACGCCTCACTGAGACCTATCCAATCTCACCCCGACTTCCCCATCCCTAAATCATCAAAAGCTGAACTAGTAACAACCAATGTCTTACCATCCCTTCGCAGCGGCACTTCCGCCGACCAACCAATAAAGGGTCCCGGCAATTCGGTTCTGGGGCTTGATCTCTCCTGGGCAGAATTCTCATCATACCCTCCGACTACCAGCTTCCAACTCGACTTGCTCGAGTTCGGGGCCGTACCTCTTCTCATCCAAATGCGGCCACGATGACTTCCATCGAGAGCAACGGTCCTCTAATAGCGGGTATCACATGGTTTCTCTGCTTCTTCTGTGGCGCCTTCCTGGCGTTACGAGTGTACGCGAAGTTAAGTAGGGGACAGAAGCTGTGGTGGGATGACTATATCTTTCTTTTCTCGTGGGTACGTATAGGAATTTTCAACAAGGTATCCATCTGTCTGAACGTCTGACAACTAACTGACGGTGGCTTGTAGACTTGTCTCTTTGTCGAATCGATCATCACCCAAATGGGCGTCAACTTGGGTTTCGGCCGTCACTATTACGACATCACTCCCCAGACCAATCTCTTAACGATTGCCATGTATACCTCAGTAGGCGCATCGATATCGTGCTTTGCTTCGACTGGTAGCAAAGTTGGGTTTGGTGTAACCCTCCTTCGGCTCACGACTGGCTGGTTCAGGATATTTGTCTGGTTCGCCGTCGTGACATTGACGGTGGTCATGCTGCCAAGCGCGACCTTGACATGGCTGAAGTGCACCCCGGTGCAAAAGAACTTCAACAGACAGATGCCAGGGACTTGCTGGGATGAGTCTGTGACGCTCAATTACGGCATCTTTAACGCGGCTTGGTGCGCGTTCATGGACTTTGTGTTGGCGATAATCCCATGGAAGCTCATCTGGGGGATGCGGTTGAGAAAACACGAAAAGCTAGGCGTTTGTTTTGCAATGAGCCTAGGCTGGTTGTATGTTTTTATTCTCGAGCTGTCGTACTTTCTTAGCTCATGCTGACTTATCACCACAGGGCAGGCGTATGCGCCATCATTAAGGGGATATACCTCGTTCAACTAGAGCAAGGTGATTTCTTCTGTGAGTTGATCAATTGCTCTCGCGTGTGACTTGTCGTCTTTTTAACATTTCCACTCAAGTCAACGGAAAAGACGTAACCATCTGGACCGCCGTGGAAACAGCCACTGCAATAATTGGATCATCGATCCCGGTCTTACGAGTCTTTATCAAGGAAAAGGCGTCTACCCTTGGCTACGACAACAAGGTCAACCACGATATTAGCAACGAAAATTCAAACAACATGGAGCTCAACACGTACCGGAGCGTAATTACCTCTACTACGCAGAAAGGTACCCCATCGACGACGGAGGAGACCAATGTAGATGGCGCCCGGAACTTCCCTCGGAGCGGAAGCTGTCTTCTGGTGGACATACCAGACTTCAAGCTTGAGGGGATTGTGCGAGCTCGGAGCGTGGATGAAGAAAGTCAAGGCGGGTCAGACGATGATCAGATATTTAGTAATGATGCTCATTCTGGCCACAATGTCCATAGCCAGGAACAAATAAGGTATGTTGGTTCGATATGGCGTGTATACTTTTGCTAACCCTTTCCAGGGACGAGCGGGAATTTTATGGAAGAGCGCTTTAATCAAGTCGTTCCATAGATAATGGGCGCGAAAAGCGTTGTGCGAAAGAAGACAGCCACGCGAAGCAGGAAATTCCTGACCGTTGTGTACTAATGCCTTCGAATGAGAGCAAAGGCCTCTGATGTCTGAGGCTCGATGATACCTGGAGTAGTTCAACTCCGCTCCAAAGTAATGATAGTAATGAGGATCATGAAGTAGTGTTACGAGTTGATACCAACGCTCTCTAAGTTGGCCATGCTGCCTTGTAACCACTCAGCCACAAAGAATTGCGATGTGCAAAACAAGAAATTGTGGGATACTTTATGTAACAGCATTCTAAGACTTCTATGGTTCTCCGAATATGGCGTCATATGCCGTTGACGATTCTTTCGGGACGGTCATGAAAGGATCCGCAACAACCGCCTTCTTGATCTCATCCTCCGAAGTCTCCTGCCTGAGAAGCCATCCGAGGCCTTTGAAGATATCAATGTTCGCTTTGAACGCGGACTTGATGCCAGGGAATATGAAATGGCCATGCGGAGCGCCGGGATACACGTCTAGCCTGGTTTCAACCCCGTGCGCCCTGAGAGCTTTCTCGTAAACCAGACCGTCATCCCGGAGGAAGTCCAGACCTCCAACCTGCACAACTGTTCGTGGCATTCCGACGTGGGGATTCTTCGAGTTGAAAGGCGAATAATCCACTGACTTAATGTCTGCCTTGTAATTAGCGGCGAGATAACCCCAGGCTGCTTTACTGAAGATCGGAGCCTCGGCATTCTGCTCTCTTGCGAGGAAGATGTCTTTGTACTTTGGAGGCACTATGTCGTCCTCGAGGAAGAGCGGAGCCAGGAGCCAGACACCGGTAAGAGGAGCTCCGAGCTTGGTGATGCCATCGACCGTCTTCTGTGCCATGACGGCTGCCAGATTTGCACCAGCTGATGGGCCTCCGATAATGAAGCCCGCGCTCAAGTCGCCGCCTAGTGTGTGCGCATTCTCAGAAACCCACTTGAGCCCATCTTCAACATCATTGGGGGCCGCGGGGAAAGGGTGTGCGGGCGCCAGACGATAGGAAAGGTTGATGACAGTGGCATTGAAGAGCTTTCTGGCGATTCTGGCCCAGGGGCTCATTTGGTGACAGTCACCCATTGCGAAGGCGCCTCCATAGAGGAGAACGATGACTGGGGACTTTGCGCCTGTTGACGTAGAAGGCTTGTGGACACGGGCTTCTTGATGGCGGCCACCATCGCGCATGGGAATCTGGATGGAGTACTCGAATTCCGTGTCTGGGGCCGGGGGAGCTGACTCTGGCAAGGGATGCTCACCCGCCAGGTACTGGAGTATGGTCAGTGGCCGAGTCAGTCCATGCCAACGAGCCTCGACTAACCTCTGCAATCTCTGGGCTTTAACAAGGGTCAGTCCACTTTGTTCCAGACTTTTGAAATTTTGCTTGCGGTTAATACTCACTCGATGACGCTCAAGGCAGCGAGCTTCTCTTTTGTGTCATACTCCATCGTGTCCACAGACGTCTTGTTCTCAAGAGAGCCCATTGATACAGTCTAATGCCTGAGCAAAAGTGCAAGTGTTGGAAATGTGTGGGACAGCGGTGCGCACGAGGGGAAAAAAAGTTGAATTGAGAAAAACTTCCAACAGCGAGCGGCCACTGTCAATTTAAAGCAAAGCCGCATTCGTTATCTGATGTGACGGAATCTGGCTCCAACAGAGCTAAAAGATTACATGTTTGTCTAGTCCCAACGGCAGCGCTACTATCGGACTTGGTCTCCGCACCCCGATTGTCCGAGGGACCACAATGTGTTCGCTTCGATGGTCATTATTGATCTGCTCATGGGTAAAAAGCAAATCCAGCAAATGAAACGAGTCCCCCCGCGGAAAGCCCCTCTTCTAGTGCAACGAGGCATCCCACGTCAGCACAATAACCATGCGAGATTTCGGTGTTTGGCCAACGAAAAGTCCCTTTTGGCAAACCCAGCCCGACGGTCTGGCTGCAAACCATGTTACATTGAAGATGCGCGTGCGAGGCCCAGTTCGGAGAAAGCAAGTCTTGGCGATGTTTGTGTCCCACAAATACCATTCATACAAAGCAAACGCTCCTCTTCGAGACCATACCTGCAAACATTTGACCAAATCGAGCCTCTTATCTGTGATACTCTCAGGTCGGAAATTCCAAGAACAGTCTTTTCTACCTCAGGATAACTTACTGCATGTGTTGAATTAAGTATCCAGTGCGGACATTTCTTCAGCTAATGAGAGCCTTGGCCCGATTGAAGATTTCCATTGATCAGGGTACCTTGTCTACGGTGAAGGACGCCTTTGTCATGTTCTTTGACCCGAGAACACAGAAAGCGTTCTAAGATGACTTTTGGAAAGTTTTGAAGGACACAACTCGGAAAGACTGATTCAACCTAGGTGCTCTGGGACACTGTCCTGTTTCACAAGCAGTAGTTGACAATGGCTTAGTCTAAGGTGTCAGTTTGATCGATGGAACAAGACCTCTTCGCACCTATGAGTGCTGGTGAAAGACGACAGGCAGCATCAACTTCCCGACTGAAAACGATAAAAGTGCCACTACGGACTGGCCATAGAAGCTTCCTGCAACTCATTTTCAACTCATCATCTCAACGCAACACTCTCAACTTCAACTCAACGCTCCACGGTTCTTCATCTGACATCAGCAGCTTCAAGCATCGATCGAACTAACAAACTCACAACTCACTTTACATCGCAGCCATGTGCAACTACATCCTCAACGTCACCAAGTGCCGCCAGTGCGGTTGCACTATCAGCTCGTCCCAGTCCGACTTCGTCTACTGCCCGTCTTACAAGAACGGCATCGGATGCCAGACCATCCAGCGCGACTGCCGCACTCAACTGGTCTGCTGTTCTAGTTGCCAGAGGGCCTATCATCTTGAACCTACTGTCAATGGCCCTAGTATCTTCGCTGACAAGGAGTTTGATTCCGACTCTGAGGATAGTTTCGCTCCATCTCAGTAGTGGAAATAGGTTGCGACGGTAAGTAGACTGATCTACGTTTTTCGAAAATTCTTTTCTCAAGTTACTGGAAAGCGGGTGCGATTTTACATTTCAAGTTTAGTATCAGTCTTTTGCGCAGCTAGAATTTAACTTCTCTTCGCGAACTCAATCATCAGATGAGAACTTGTAGGTCCCATATCACCGTCTAAGGTATGTTTCAAACCATGCAGCCAGTGATACGTGTATAGTGATACCTCTTGCATGTACAAGGTGATTTACAGCATTATTCATGTTACTGGGATAGTCTCCTTCGAAACTTTACAGATCCCAAATTTTCCATCAATCGAGTTGTTCGTCTCTTGGCCGATCAACTTTCACACGTAGTTGATGTGATCTTTTGCAGTTTCACACAACTCTGGTATTAAGAACCAGATGCGGACATAATTCTTCCCTTATGGGTTCTATGGGATATTAAATGGGCAGCGTGGCATTGACCTGGAGGCAAGTTCCCAGCCTATCCCCCTCCAGTCTTGATGTCGCGTTAACAACATACTCCTGCAGAGGCGACGTGCCGCACTTGAGTCCCAACACGAAAGCCCCAGCAAACGAGTCCGCCAGCTTCGGCGACATGTGCACGGCATCCATCGGGTAACCCTCGACAGCGGCCTGCTGACCCTGCACCTGAAGGGCCTGGGCGCTGTAGTTGCCGTGCGGAACGTAGTAGATGCCGGCTGCGGGTCCGCCGAGGGATTCGACGACGTACCACGAGTACCACGCGTAGATGGTCGGCGTCCAAGAGAATATGCCGGTCGAGTAAGGATTTATGGGGGTTGAGGTTGAGATGACCACGCGGGCGCCGAGGGAGAGGAAAGTCGAGGAGGCGTTGCGAAGGTAGGTGGTGTATGTCTGCACTACTTCCGTTTGGTTGCTGAAAACAGTTAGATCGTCATCATTAGGGAGAGATGTGGCGTTTCCAATTCCTTTGGACGTACTTGAAAAGCACAGGACAGACATTGTCTCCAATACCGGGACAGTCGACTCGGTTCTTGACTGTGTCGTTGATCGGGTTGCCAGCTAGAGTCCTGTCAGAGTAGCTCATGTTTGGAGAGGTAGGATCGATGCAGCTCAAATACGTACGTCCATCATTGTGGCCAAACTCAATCACAACCCAGTCTCCAGCCTTGACTTCGTCAATGATCCGCTGGAACCGGCCCTCCCTCGTGAAAGTGCGCGCGCTTCTTCCAGCGTACGCAGAGTTATTGACTCGGATCTTTGACGAGTCGAGAGAGTAGTGCAGGTACTCTCCCCATCCCTGGGTACCGTTGTGTCCACCGCCCGGTGCCATCGTGCTGTCGCCAGCGAGCCAGAGTACCTGTCGATCGTCGACATCGGAACGCTCCGTGGGTGCTGCGAGTGCCGAACCAGCTCCCAGGAGGAGGGAAACTGCGGAAAACTTCATGGTCTACTTATTTCCGTCCAGATGGAGAGGACGACGTTGATAGAGACAGGCGCGAGGTCTCTCGAGCTTTCTCACCAAGCAAGGTCACGAAGGCATAGCTTCATTTTATTGCTTTTCTTCCCTAGCGAAGGTGTCATTGACAGCGGATCTCGGCATCCAGCGCTATCCAGGGTGCCAGGGATGCCATCACGTCTCCCCGCATCAGACTGAACTGACAGGCCTTACAGCTGGGCATTTCCCCGCGTAATCCAGGGGTCATTTGGAGGCAAAAGACACAACGGCGGGACCGCTAAGCTAGATGAATACTGAAAACCCGTTGCCCAATTTGCGCACGAGTGGGAAAGCGATCGGATAGCGTTTGATGAAGCGCTCCTTATTCGTGGGAAGAAGGTGGGTGAATTTTGATTCGGGCCAACAGGGGCCGAGTCCACCACGGAGTAGGCTTTCGGTCGACCGTTTGCCGAGTGAACCCGGGCAGATGGATCTTGACCCCGTGGGGAGATGATCGGTGTAGGGTCCGTCTGATCCGGGGTTGATTGGTTCCGCTGTCCCCGGAGCTGCTTGGACTATTTGTGCTTCATTTGATAAGAGGGGCTTCATACTCATTCATCTAAATGTTTCGTGAGCTCATCTCACTCAGATCTCACACTGAGTGAAATGAGCTCAAAGCGACCACGACTGGTCTAGGATGCAGAGCCTGAACGCGTGATTGACTACCTTGCGAAATAAATCGTGATGATTCACTGCCAAACATGAGAACGCAGAATACATGTATCATAGCCTCCGAGGCAATCCAGAAAATACAAGCTGATGATAATGTATTGGACTGCTTAGAGTATCGCAGGGTCGGATCCGGTCCTGTTGCTTTGACCTCAATTGAAGCGCTCTCGGATCCATTTGACAGCTTCAGTCTGACGCGGCCCGATCTTGAAAGATGAGTTGCTTGACGGATTGCGACATGCGGAAAGCGGATAGCTATCAGGTTCAGTGCCGTCCGATTGCGAGTCCGACTATCGATTCCAAATGGTTGATTATCGTCTCTTAAGATGGGCTGGAGCATATCGCGATCTCCAGTTCTTACTACCACAGGCTTTTTCATGAGGCAATAGTACCCTATTAGTGCCTTGACATCATGCCGCCTTCCGAGTGAATATCTTCATCAACGATGACATCAAACCCGAATCTTTGGGTCTAGACGCACAAAATGAAGTCGTACGGGACTGGCCGTCATAGGAAAGACCGAGGATCTTGGAATGACATTGGTACAATTACCTGTTTGGGCATTGAGCTCGTGCTTTGACTCGGGTGGCCCTCGGACGTGTTCCTGGTGTGGGGGGCAAACATTGACTTTTGCCATGACAGGATTGAAACCCGGCGCATTCGGTTGCGGGGGTCTTTGAGGGTTGCATTTATGCCGGGGGAAGATGCCGGCCGGGAGACCGAACACGAGGTGAATATTTATTTCGAAGTTGGCAATAAACACAGACATGAGATTGAGCCCACGAGCGCACCGAGCCGGACTCGATTGTGCGGCTGAAAATGGTGTAGAATGAGATTATCTAGCGTGTTCGGATACATGAGAATGCATCGTCCGTTGAGCTTTTTGCTAGAGATGTGGAATAGCTTCTAATCTTCGCACTGCAGAAGAAGCTTAGCTACAGTGAGTTTACCCAGGGCAGTAGTTTTCCACAGTCCAAGGGAGATGTGATGAGGTATCCAATCATTTCAGATGACGGACGAAACTTGTATGAGAAGGCATTGAATGACACACACTCTGCTTGATACATGCAAGTAATGAGAAGCTGATGTGGGCTGAGCTGAGCCTGCATATGCTCTGCTATGCCTCGGGAATACCACTAGCGCACATGCCATACATGACAATAGGAAGGGAGCCATGGCAGGAGGCAATGCAGTATTCGTAAAATCAGATGCTTGACGAGAGCCAAGTCAGATCTGGGAATCTGCACTGATGCAAGGTGCTGCAGATTGCCGAATAAGAAAGGAGGGTCGCCCAGACAAAGCCGACAGGGGCAGGGCAGAGACACTGGAGACACTGACACTTGACACGGCGACTCCCGCGGTCTGTTCACTGTTTCTATTCACAGAATCGACGTATGAAAGAGGACATTGTTAAAATCTTTAAGTGGTGAATATTCCCCGCCCCTCCCCTACCTCTGCACTAATTCTGAAGAAAACCGAACCAGTGACATACTGTTTAGTCTCGTGACGTCACGTACCCGTGATCCACAATTCAACCGGAGCACCGGTGACCGAACACGATCGCGGGGACCTTCCAGAAACGCAACATCCTTTTAACCTCAGCTGGAAGCTGCGACCAGCTGGCTCCTGCCCCGGTGCAAAAGAATTCACATCGTCGACTTCGATTGCCAACCAAATATTTCGACAACCCACCCGTTGCTGCTACAACTCGCCACATTATTAACACCGTCAAGAGCACACGAAAATCGGAAGAAGCTCCAGCGATTACCAGCCCTGGGCATATCGCCACTGTGAACACCCGTCATGGCGACCCAGCAGCCCCCAGGCCTCACTACTGAGCAGACTAAGGCTCTGTTCAACATCCTCACCCATTCCGAGACCTACCGCGAGATCGAAGATTTCAAGAAGCCAGAGACCATTTCCGACTATGGCTACCCTTTTGCGCAGAGCTCCCAGCCCGGAGAGGCCGTCACATACGCCCCAGAGTCCTCAGCGCCCCTTCTACAGTCTCTCTTCACCAGATTCATCCTGGAGCTACCGGGCGTCTCCTCCTTTGTTCCCGAGTTTTGGAACGTCCGAGTTCAGGGGATCCTCAAGAACTTTGCCGAGGCCGAGCTGTCCGAGAGCTACGAGAAGGGCGCGCTGGGCACTAGAAAGACCCTGGCGACCGCCTCGTCCACCGTCATCGAGACCGTTGCGCGTGGCATGATTGGTGGCGGACCCTACAGTGACCCTTCGACGCGGCTTAAGCAGTACGATCTGAACAGAGCGGAAGACCTGGCGCAGGCCTGGGATGATGCTATGCATGACCTCGTTTACGGGGACCTCTGCGACAGCTTACTTGACCACCTTGCCGAGACGGACGACTTCGAATCACACTCCCCAATGACCCAGGCGGCGAATGAGTACATCATTGTACAGTCAGTATTGCTCTATCTGAAGGCGATTCGAGGAAATTAGACTGACTAACACAAACTTACAGCCTGGCTGGACTTGCCCACCAAGTGCTGGTTGTCTCACCAGAGGGCCAGTACCTCGTCAAGCTTATGGAGCAGGTTCACAAGATGGTGCCATACAACATGGTACGGCAGACACTCAAGGTCGGCAACGCTGCGACAATGATAGCTGGCATGATGAAGATCTTTCTGGCCAAGCTCAGTGTCGGTTCGGTTTCGAACTGGTTCGGCATAACAAAGGATGCTGCAGATGGCATGAATCTTATGCAGAGGTTCGGATTCCTTGAGCTGAGGCACTCCCACCTAGACAAGCATCAAGACTAACAAAGCTGCAGGATCATCTCCGTCATCCTCGGCTGGGACTGCGCAGATTTCAAGAAGACGATCGACAGAATCGCCAAAGACAAGAATAGGCCAAGTAAAGGTGCTCTAGATGCCATCAAGGCCCACACCCAGTCTCCCCCAACTGAGCGCGAAGTCATTCGAGCTATGAGCGCGCAACAAGACAAGTCCATTATCGCCGTCATCCTCGAAACCGCGAACCCCATCCTGCTTTCCGACCTTAGCGAAGACGAGCACACAATGTGCCTAGAATATTACGCAGCACTGCTGGCTATGCGCGATAGGGAAGAAATCATCAGCATCCTTTGCAGGCAGAGCCCAGACTACCTCACCCAGGCGGTCCGCGAGGCAGTGGCCGGGATGGATCCCATCATCCGCGCCGTACACAATAAAGTCGACCTCTCGGACCACGTCAGGGACTACCACATGTTCCTCGACCAGCTGATCGCCTGCAGCAAACCAAAGAAGGGAAAGAACAAGGATGATACGGAGACCATGCCAACTGTGGAGGACTACGTCAAGCTATGCAAAGACAATAAGCATCTCTTGTACAAGTGGCTGCACGCTGTGGGCGGCAAATGCCCAGAAGTTATGGACCAGTTCAGGGCGTGGGCAAAGGACTCCCTGGTTGCGTTCCACAAGACTAAGAATGGCGGCGCGAGCATCGAGGAGCAGCTGGGTGACATCTTCAACCAGGTTCCCGATAACAGCAGAGCGGCCCTCCTCCCCATCATCGACGCCCACGCTGCATACCTACGGGACCTCGAACAGCTGTCCTTGACGCGGATGCAGACCATCATCGAGGGCAACTCGACGAGTATGGCTGGCCCGGGTGTCTACTTGGTACGGTGGCAGAACCTGATGGATGATACCCTCATTACGCCCGTGAGGCCCGTCGGTCCGGTGCGGTTGGGCAGAGACGTCAAGGGGTTGGCGCCGACGCAAGGCAAGCGGGGTTCTGCGTCAAGCGATGCTGGCGAGATCATTGCGGCCGTCCGCGACATGAATCTGTCTTCTTTGCCCGAAGCGCCGGATGTGCAGGCGGTCATCCAAGCGCTGGGGCCTAGGTTCAAGCAGATGCTCACCAAAGCATCCAGAGCCAATGGCCCTCCGACGCACGGCGCGGCCAACGGACACGCTTCGCCCATTTGAAGTCGGATGGACTGCCGACCAGTATTATGATATGTTTCCTAGGATTTCTATTTGAACTTGGGGGGTGGATGAGCATGGTGTCACATGGTGACTGCCTTACTACAAACGACTTGCATGAGGACATGGTTTGATGTTCTCTAGGTATTGGCCTGGCGTTTGGAAGGGACGAGAATTGGTTTTGGGCTCGGCCTTGGGCTGGATTGAGCGGCGGGCGGGATACCTGCTGTAGAGCCGAGCATAGACATTGAACAGAGATGTCGTAAAGTAAACCGAGTATCGCAGTGCTCCGTGAGCTTTGCCGGACTATAAAGTATCTTCAACACATCAAGAGCTTTGGCATACGCGGTCGAAGCTTGTTCCAGCCCTGAACAGAGAAATAAAGGTGCGAACAAGTGCCCGCATCTCCCCATTAGTCGATTTTCAATTTATCCATAGGTCTGGGACTGCGTCATTATGCCGGTCTCTGGCATAGCCTATCTTTACACCCATGTTTCTCTTCGCACTTGTTGTCTACCCACACATAATTAACAATGTACAGGCAGATCATCTTGGCAAGAACGTTGCGGCAATCAACGGCGAGCAAATGTCAGCAAACAAGCATCCCGTCATCCCCAAGGCGCAGCGGCAAAAGTTTGCCGCCAGGCCATACCAAGTCAGGTAGCTCGTCGAGATCATCTTGCGTAGCTAGCCGATTTCGCCCCAAGCTCATCCCTGTCTAGCGCCAGCAAGGCGGCGCACGAGGGGATGTTTAGACGAATGATGCGCCGTCAGCTCGCTTCAAATATCCCTCATTCATTTCGCTTTCGACAAAAGTTGCCCTAGTGCTGGTTGCCTCCCTGGTCGGGCCCGACTGGAGTTTCCCTACCTTTGAAGCTTGCCCGCCTCAACTTTCCCTGCCTTATTATCCCACATCCTCGTCTTAATTCTTTTTGATATTCCAGGACAACTCTCATAGTTCAGAACACTCAACGAAGCATCGGACGCTCGTGGAGACAGATCATACCTCTCGTTCCTCAAGAGACTTCATCTCATAATGTCTACTACCACAACCACAACCCATCGTGCCCCAAGCACAGGCATCGACCTCGCCAACCTCTCCCCCAGCAACGACCCAGAATCCCGCTCCTTCTCCTCCTCCGAGATCAACGACCCCTACAACCTTGGCACGCACATCAAATCCGACGCTGACATAGTCCAACTCAAATCTGCATACAATACAGACAAGCCGCAGAACAGCAGCAGTTCTACCCGGAGACGTCTCATCCACCACAGCTTCACCCGCGGCGGCGCCAAAGACGCGAAGCTCCAAGACTTTTACCGCGCCCAGAATGAAAAGATCCGCTCTTATCTTAAGAGCGTAGACGACCACGAGCGCGAGGCGAAGGAGACGCAGGGTGATAATAACCTCAAGTATCAGATCGCGGTGAAGGGTAGCTTGGCTGCTAATGTCGTTCTCTCGGCGCTTCAGCTTTATGCTGCAATAACGTCTGGCTCGCTGTCGTTGTTCACCACCATGGCTGACTCTGTCTTTGATCCGCTGTCGGGGGTCTTGCTACTGCTTTCCCATCGGGCGGTGAAGAAGGTTGATACGCAAAAGTACCCTTCTGGCAAATCACGCATCTCTACCGCGGGGAACATCGTCTTCTCGTTCATTATGTTCTCTGTCTCGTTGGTGCTGATTGTCATGTCCGCTCGAGACTTGGCTGCTGGATCTGAGGAGGAGACGAACGAGTTCCACTTCACTTCCGTCATCGCCGTCGCCATTGCATTTGGGACGAAGTTTTGTCTGTGGCTGTACTGCTGGTCCATCAAGGATATTTACTCCCAGGTCGAGATTCTGTGGCGCGACCACCGCAACGATCTCTTCATCAACGGATTCGGTATCTTTACTTTCTCGGCTGGCAGCAAGATCAAGTGGTGGATCGATCCCATGGGCGCCATTCTGTTGTCGTTTTTGATTGCGGGCTTGTGGTTGAGGACTGCGTATGAGGAGTTTCAGTTGTTGATTGGGGTGTCTGCTGAGCCTGAGTTCTTGCAGCTCATCACTTACATCGGTAAGCTGATTTTAACTTCTAGTCAATGCGATTTGAGAATCAGAACTGACAGAATGTTAGCTATGACTCATTCGCCCGAAGTCAAGCAGATTGACACCGTTCGCGCATACCACAGCGGACCGCGTTACATCGTTGAGATTGACGTCGTCATGGACCGCCATGAGAGACTTGAGATTGCACACGACGTGGCAGAGGCTCTTCAGATCAAGATTGAGAAGTTGCCTGGAGTAGAGAGAGCATTCGTTCACGTTGACTACGAGACGGATCATAAGCCTGTAAGTCTTTCTCGATGTATATTCTCGGCCTAGCGTGTTCACCCTTACTGACACATGATACTCATCAGGAACATGACTTGAAGAAGGACCTCTAACAGCTCGGTACTCTCCAACTTGTCAATGTTGGCAAATGGTTGCGACAGGACCAGTTGGTACTTGAATGTATGTGGGGAAAGGTGCACTAAAATATGTAGGTAACGGGCCAGAGGTCAAATATGAATCAATTCTCATACCGCTCTTCTTCATCTGAACATCCACTTGATGTCTAATACAAGTTCGTTCTTGCTTCGTTACTCAAGACTGCTAGCCGGGCCTCATGCCGGTACATGTATCCAACTGCCCGAAGAATCCGAAGATTGGTTAGAAAAGGCCACCCTTCGGGTAGAACCACTAGCAACCTGGCGGAAGGATGGTAAAGGTGGGCCCCAGTATCCCTCATCTGTATCGTCCTCGCTAGCTCTAGACGCAAGTTTCGCCAACTCCTCGACTAAGTCTTCACAGCTTATTCTCTTTTTCCTGTCGCATTCAAGAACCTTGTATCTGAGAAGGTCCACAAAGTCTGTCACAAAATTCGCTTTTTCGGTCTTCGACTCATGATAGAGTTGAGCCAGCCACTGCGATGAATATAATCAGCACTCATGTAAAACAGGAAGCAGGAAGTCAGTCAAAATCTTGGGTCACCTGAAGAAGCGATGAAAAAAGTGATACTCACACTTTTCACTGATTTCTTTAACGACGTTTTGACCGTACTTCGATAATATTTCGCCAAAAAGAATTTGTCTTCCATCCATTTAGCCTTCTTTTGCTCGCCATCCCAATCTCTTTCTTTGGCGCGAGCACTGTTGTACTCAGTCACGGCGAGGGTCCCATGAACCACCCAAGTAAGAAACTCGGAGAAGACACATCCTAAAGCCCACACATCTGCCTTCCTGGAGTATACCTCCCCAAGCTGTACAAGCTCCGGTGCATCATATGTGGGGGCAGGACGTCGATCATTGGGACCTTGGGTGAGAGGCCGAGTTCGTGATGTCAGCCTGTGAAACTCTGTGAGACCGAAGTCTGCGATTTTTAGGACACCGATATCCAGGGGGTCGCCCAGCTGATTGAAGAGCAATATGTTCTCGGGCTTTATGTCACCATGGATTCCATATATGTCGCTGTCGGTTTCCTGATCTTCAGAAATCCGTTTTGCCTTTCTGAGTGCTTTGACGCGAACCTCATGAATGCTTTGCAGGGCCTCCGCCAGCGCATAGCATTGCTTTGCTACCCAGCGAAGGAGTGCTGCAGGTGAAATCTTACCTTGTTGTAACTGCGTCGGGCAAGTATTCCAAAAGTGCCGTAAATTGCCCCCTTCCGCCCAAGGGAACAAAAAGGAATACTTGCTCCCAATCTTGAAAGTCGCGCAAAGATCGAGGATATGGTTTCCTGGCACCATCTTGGTAAAGGCTTTGAGTTCCTTCTCAAACTCGTTTTCGGCCTGGTCAGGTTCTGCCGCGAGCAGGGTTTTGAGAGCAAATGCCTTGTGGTCGTGCTGCGCATGGAATTGGGCATGTTAGTCAGGTAAATACAGGCACGAGCAGAACAACAACTGTAGTAAATGGAATGGGGCACTCACAAACGAATGATGGTCCCGGTGTATCTCAACTTTTTGGACCATAGAGAATGTCCCTTCCCTTCTCTCCTCCCCAATGGAGGTCCAGGGCATGACTACTTCCTCAGCTAAGTGAAAAGTAGTCACCTCTCTCTTCTCATCGAGGTCAATGATGGGGGCAAGAATTTTCCACTGCTTCTCATAGAACTCCCTCGACAGCCTTGTACCTCCTTTTTTGAAACAAGGAAGGGGATTATCCCCAAACTGAGATTTTGGACTGATCAAGTTTTCCAGTGACGCGGGATTGAGCCACTCGAAAGGCAGATCACGGTCACGTAAACCATCCTTCATGAACGCCGGCAGTCTCTTTACCTTGCACATTAAGACCAAAATCACAAAAATACGTTGACTTGTCTCTCCTCCCTTACATTCTGTCCTGTCCACGCCACAGACGTAGTCAGCGAGACTACTCAACTCGCGTCCAGAGAAGTGCTGGCGAAGAACAGCATTGACTCGAGAACGTTGGCTGAACGAATGCAAGTCTCCAAATGGAAGCCATTGGTTCGAAGATGTAGGCTTAGGCTTCGTGAATCGCATAGCTTTGTGTATTTCTTCGCACATGGCTTCTTCTTCTTCCAATTCAATATCAGATTCCGTCTGTGCCTCCGCTTCGTTTCCGCTTGGCGATTCAAATGCTCCACCCGTAAAAATCGGCACAGCTGGCGAATTTGGCTGCAGATGGGGTAGTACCGTTCCTTGGTTCCTGGCTAGATTCATCCCGTAGCTGTAATTGTCGATTCGGTTCGACGTTCTTGTCGTGTTCGAGACATTGTCTAATTGCTTTGAGGTGGAACCACGGCGTCCAATCTTGTCCCCGTTGGGATATATCTGGAGGTTTCGTGTCGGAATATGGTCTTCGAGAAACTCCGTCACCTACATGTATTTTCTTCTTAGTTTCTTTGTCTGTGAAACGTCGCTCAAGAATTCGGCATCAGACTCACTTCCTCAACAAAAGAGTCGGATTGGGACTGAGGCATCTCTACAAACTAAGAGTGGCGACGAAGCCCGTTAATAGTTGAAGGAAACCAGGATAACGTGATGGTGTCTACAGGATTGCTATCCAGTCACATGCGATTGCTGGTTGCAGCATGTGTTGCGAAAATGTGACTCAGTGTCTTGTTATATCCGTGTTTGCCTGCAGCAGATGACGAATAGGGTGAAGTATGAGGAGGTTGCCGAGTGGGAGGTTGGCCGCTGGATAGTAGGTTGTAGATTTTGCTGATAACATGACGCCTCAACCTCCGAACTTGTCGGGAACTGGCCACTTTTAACGGTCCAGCAAGCGGCAAGGCGCATTCTTGTCGTAAGTCCCAATGATACCTTACCGAGACATTGCAGGGATATAATATGTGCCAAGCGTTGCGTGGTTGCCTCCCATATCATCGAGCGGCAAGTGATAACCTACAAAATGCAACAAAATGCAAATATGCAAATTTGGGGTGGCTTAGACTCTCGGTGTGGCCTGCCTGGTTGCCTTGGTACGCGTCGGGTTGCCTGGTTCGCACAGTGAGTGGTTCGCCCCAAAACGCTACATCGGGCTGCAGAAAACATCCTGCAGCCGCATAAATACTGCGTATTCCCGGCAATTTCCCCCCTCTCATCGGGCTTTCGCCGAAGTAATCCTCATTCTCTGCAATTAACGACAACGGAATCGCTTTTGAAATCATGGCGAATCCAAGAACACAATCATCCTCGTCGTCAAAGAGATCTACGGCGGCAGCCTACCAATCCTGGTCAGGCGCTCGCTTCACGGCAAAAATCCCGGGACGCTTTGTAAATCCGGCAAAGTTGGAAAATTTCCTTGACCGAAAGTTTGACGACTATTATACCGTCGAAGTATGTTCCTGTTCAAGATCTGACATCTCAAGTATAAATTCTGATATTGAGTAGATGCGCAATAACTTCTATAGCGTTACCACGCCATACCATCTTACAGCTGAAGAGATTAAAAGGAACTGTTAAAAGCTAGTCTATTCTGGCTCAGTAGTTCTGTTTCGATACATTCATCCACAACGTGAACGGGGGCCTTTCAGTTCTTTGGGCAGGCTCAGGGAGTCGTATTTGGCACGATCGCCTTACTTACCTTATCCCACCTTAAGTGATTGCTGGCGCGATCGTATATGATGTAATTGGATACGTGTATCAAGGAGCTTCTTGAGAAGCATTGTTTTTGGTATTTCTCTAGCAGTCTGATACTCTCAATACGAAGTTTCGGAGGTTTCGTTCGAGCATAGTCTTTTACACCCGGAAGATTTAGTTGCAATCACTCCCATCAACAAGAAGTCATTCAATCTTGCTGCTCTACAGAGGTAGTTATTACCCATGAACAGAATCATGCGGCTTCCGTAAAAGATGAGCGTTGCGGGTGTTGCGAGCTTCATAAATTGCCAAAAGCCTTATGCTTTGACAGTTAGATACGAAGACTTGTGAAAAACAATCGTTGACACTGCGAGGCATATCCAGATTCCAAATAATCACATGGACCCAATGATCAGAAAACACATGTTCGATTCAGGATGGTCTAAAGCACAGTGAGAATGTGTTGTAGTCCATGTTCGCCCTTATCTTTGCCTACTCGAATGACCTTTCATCTTGATTTTCACCACGGCAATTTCGGCCTGTGTGATTACTGTCAATGATAAGGTCTCAAGTCATAGAGCATTTTCGGTGTTAAACTCACGGCACTCAATAACCTCGACGTTTGGAAGTACCATTGTTGATCAATGAACTGTCTGTTTGTCAGTGAGTAGACCCCTCGCGAAGTTGGGAATACCAACCCCGTGAATTGTAAAATTGCCATCGCCAACAATGTTCGCCAAAGCTTTACTTAACAGTTTATGATTACCATACTGAATAGGCAGACTTTGAGTGTACATGCTGCCTTCGAAATGCCTTGGATGAGGCGTCTTGATCCGACCGAAGTAGGGCCTCTAAGGGCGTAGCATAACTCCTTACATGAACTCACAATAGGTGTGATATTCTTACTCTTAAATAAGCACATGTGCGAACTTCATGAGGCTGAGGCCTTACCGAAGGGACTTGCTGCAAATGAGAAAGAGGGCGAAAACATGCCACTGTTCAGGGCGAACCTCCAGGCAGGATGTGCCCAGCGATGCCCAAGTTGCATGCATGCAGTCGTTGCATATGCGGACCCACGCACAGCCCCGAATGTAGTCATGATGTTCCAATCTACCACGTTGGGCATTCTGCTTGGCTGATTGAGTACCCAGCAAAAGCTGCATGTCGTTGGCAGCCATTTACCCAAGTCGAAACCAGGACGGTCCGCACTGCTCGGGAGATGAGAGGAGCCTGCCGACGCACCCCGTTCCACACCAACCAGAGCATCCGCTAATACTCAAGGCAAGGCGCCCCTCGAGCGGGGTAAACCTTTCGAAATTTGCCGACATATTGGAAGAAGATGATGCTGACGGTGAGCTTAGCTCTGCCCGAAGTTCTCGGACTTGGCCTTAGATGCAGTTGAAGCAGTTTTGCTGCTCACTTCAAGGGTGGAGATTAAATTCGATCTCTGCGGCCCACCTCACATGCACCTTCTACTTGATGTCTCCCGTGATCTCAAACATCGTTCTGTTTCTCATGGAACACCCGAAAGCTCACTTAGACTTGATCCAAAATCGGGAGCTTCGTCAGTTCCGACCTAACATTGAACGAACCAGCCGCCATGTCCTGGCTATGCCGAGATCCGGCGATATTTGAGGAAGATCTAGAGGTGCTTGACTTTGAACCGACAGAAAGTCGACTGTTCTTAATCAAACGACAAAATAATGTGGGATGAATTCCTCATGAGCCGGCTTTTGATGAGTACATGTAAATTGTTCACGTTCTGACATTGAGAAGGCTCTTGACTATGCAGAGTCATGGACGATAAAGACATGTGCCGACTGGAAACAATGGTTAGAGACGGTAAGACTTCGCAATCACATTCGCACTGCCTTGTTATAGCCAAGCAGGACTAATATCGATATTCAACAGGATCGGTCGGAGCGACAATGTCTCGAGTCCAGCAGGCTCAATCTAGTAATAGCGGGTCGGGCGGAATTCCCTTGGAAACATGATCCGTCCGCTCTTTCAACACTACCCTGGTCGTACCAAATCTTTTCAAGAATTCAGCGACGCTTCCTCGTACACAGCGGCATTGTGAGGACCATAAACCGTAACACGAGCTGCATGTTTTCACCAATGAGCTTTGAATGGAACTTAAATGATTCCAAACAAAAGTCACTGGGTACGTGCCCACTTAATTGATGAGATAGCTGGTCTTGGGTGGCTGATCAAAGATAGTGTACCTCTGCAGGACGACAGCATCCTGGTCAGGAGACATGGCTTTATCTGTGACTTTTATCCCCAGTACTCTGACCACAAATGCTGTCTTGTTCGGATGTGATCTCAAGAAGCCGGACATGTACGACGATCGTCTGACCTTGGCCGATATTATCACTAGTCGACTGAAGAATTCAGATACCCCGGTGTTTCATCCGATGATGTTACCGACCATATTTGCAGATGTCGAACGAGACAGACAAATCGAGCTCGTCCGAGAAAAGCTGGAGCAACTAGGACGACGAATCGATCGCATTGCCTTCAAGAAGCCCACTGTGAAACCTTCAGCGATACCCCGCAGTGAGATGGAAACTCTCGACGATGATGAGAAAGCCATGTCCAGTCCATTTGGTGCCCATCACCTTCAGCAGGGCATGTCAACTTCGTCTGGCTCAACCACCCTCAATGAGGATAAGGGTCTTGTTCCACCTTGTACTTTTCCAGACGAAGAAAGTCTTCCAACCGCCAAGCTCTGGCAGCAAATAAGTCGTCTTAGAGTTGGCTTGAGCAATTGGAGAAGGCAGCTACTGAAGATGATTTCTCACGTCGAAGATCTCAATCGCGTCGAGTTTGCACCTCGTGGACCTTTCAACAGCACATACAGAGAAGAGCAAAGACTACAGTTCTTTCTCACAGGAGAGCGAATCAGAGACAGGCTGCAAGAGTTAGTTGACGAGTATGATGAGTACATCAGAGAATGCTCACACATAATGGACGGGTTCAGCTTGGCGACTCAGCTTGTAAGTTGATCACAGTCTATAATTCGTCACCGCGACGTACCGTTTGCTAATCTGTTCCGAGTAGGAAATCAGCCAGATTGGTCGTAGCGATGCCAAGACGAACCAAGAGATATCGCGAGTCAACCTAGATGTTGCCAAAATGACCCGAAGGGACGGCAGTATCATGAAATCAATCGCGGTGTTAGGGATGATCTTCCTACCTGCTTCTTTCGCAACGGTGCGTGATTCGATTACCCAAATGAACATGAATGTCGGTTTGACCCCTGTCAGGCATTTTTCTCTATGGACTTCTTCGACCTTCCCAAAGAAGGAAAAGGTGGAACACTGTCAAGTCTTTTTTGGATTTACGTACTCGCCGCGGTTTTGTTGACATTGGGCACGGTGACTATCTTCTATTTCTGCATCTTGAAGAAGAGGAACAAAGAGGTTGAAAGCGACAGAAGCTCAACAGCAGTATCGTTGGTATGAGATGTTGTCTTCAGCCTTGAATTTCAGTCTCGAATGTGTCGACAATTACATAAGAGCGGCTTCAATTTCTTAATCGAGTGACCAAGCTAGAACGCAGTGGGCAAGTAAGCTGACATCAGATCACACCCATTGAGTAGCTCTGGACCCTTTTTCAACAACTCATGTGACACAGTAATCAAACATCCGTTAGTGCAGAAGAAAATGATTCGACGCATCCAGCGGCTATTCGGTAGCTTTGTACCCATGTCAGTTCAGCCGCAATTTGATGTGGTAGCTCGTACTCGACTGAAAACCCATGTATGGTAATCACCCCACCATTTGCTGCGAAGACGAGGCATTTGGTGCTGCATGTAATGTCGGATCAGGCTGCAGGATTGCTAGCGAGAATTGTTGCTGAGTTCTCCGCCCACGCGCTCATATCTGCCCGACCGCAATATTGTTTACATAAGTACTGAAGTACTATAGCCATCAGAATTGGCACGGATATTTTGTCTTCTTGACTCGTCTTGGACGTAATCACGCCAGCATCAGCAATCGTGTCAGCACCAGTACTTCTGGAGACACCGCCAGAATAGAGCTATCTGGCGGAGCATAATCCTTCGTCCGTCGCTGCTTCATTACCCCCTCTCAAGTACTGTCTTCAAAGAATCGCGCCACGATGAGGGAGCAGGAA